AATTGTGACAATCGACTATCTGGCATTCCTGAAGTTTAAAGGCTGTTCTAGTTTGCTACCAATTTCTCCGTAATCCCGCTCTCAAATTATCTACATGATAAGACCCCGGGTTCGGGTATAACATCTGGTATCAGAGCTTCTTGTTCCCAGATCACAAAGGACCAAGAACACACTTCCAATCTTTCTCCTTTCCTTCATCCTCATTTCATCCAAAACATTCCCCTCCCCCCCCATTTCCTTCATCCTAGCTACTGGCCTACCTTCACTCTTTCACTTCCTAGTTCAAAACATGTCTCACACCTCCCAAAACATCACCTAGGAAGACCTGGTTGCATCCAATGCCGAACTCAAAGCTCAAGTTGAGTATTTGGACAAACAAGTGGCTCAACTCACTAAAATGAAGTTGAAGATGACGGAGACACCCGAGGAAAGTGAGGACGAGCAAGAAGAAGAGGCCCATGCAGAAACTCCTTCCTCTTCCATACGAAAGGACAACCAAGAGAAGTCCTCCGCTAGTTTCAAGGTTGAAATCCCAACCTTTGATGGCAATGAAGACCCCGATGATTTTATCGAATGGTTAGAGACGGTTGAACGCGTGTTTGACTATCTGACATTCCTGAAGTTCAACCAAACAACCAATAATCGATTATCACAATTGTGACAATCGACTATCTAGCAATCTTGAAGTTCAAAGGCTGTTCTAGTTTGCTACCAATTCCTCTGTAATCCCGCCCTCAAATTATATACATGATAAGAACCCGGGTTCGGGTATAACATCTGGTTTCAGAGCTTCTTGTTCCCAGATCCCAAAGGACCAAGAACACACTTCCACTCTTTCTCATTTCCTTCATCCTCATTTCGTCCAAAACATTCCCCCCCCATTTCCTTCATCCTAGCTACTGGCCTACCTTCACTCTTTCACTTCCTAGTTCAAAACATGTCTCACACCTCTCAAAACATCACCAAGGAAGACCTGGTTGCATCCAATGCCGAACTCAAAGCTCAAGTTGAGTATTTGGCCAAACAAGTGGCTCAACTCACTAAAATGAAGTTGAAGATGACGGAGACACCCGAGGAAAGTGAAGACGAGCAAGAAGAAGAGGCCCATGCAGAAACTCCTTCCTCTTCCATACGAAAGGACAACCAAGAGAAGTCCTCCGCTAGTTTCAAGGTTGAAATCCCAACCTTTGATGGCAA